AACTGCCATGTGATTGGTTGATTAGATAATTGCATTAATGAGAAATTGAACAGGTGTTCCTAATAATCCTTTAGGTGAGTGTATATATAGTACACTATGGCATATATGCATATAGATTGCTACCTCGGTTCTCGAACTTAATCCGTTCCGGACTCTGGATCGAATACTAAAAAGTTCGAGTTCTGATAAAATTTTTCCCATAAGAAATAATGGAAAACCAATTAATTGGTTCCCGGCCCCCCAAAATTACACCTAAATATGTATTTTTTTTTCTTTTTTTCTAGCATTTAAATGCAAATTGAACAGGATAAAACAAGAAGAGCATTTTTTTCTTAATGGCTTCCAAAACGATAAAGATCTTATCCCAACATTATCTCTGTCCTGCCCCGATCGTCCGCTCCTTCTGTGTGCCACGACCCCTCGTTTAACTTCATGTGTGATCCCCATGTGATCAGCTGTTTCTGGTTGTTGTCATTAGTCCTCTGTATTAAGTTTGCGTTTCAGTTTGTTTCCCCAGTCCGGTCATTAGGTGCGTTCGACTTGCTTACAGCGCTGGCTTAAAGTAACGCATTCTGATCCTGACGCAATGCATTACGGTTAGATGCATTGCAACCTCTCACCCAGCTGCACAAACTGGAACCGCCTCTGTGACGACACTTATTGGCTGAAGAGTTTAGTTACACGCATGACGTTTGTATCCCAGGCAGTTCCGATGCGTAATCTGTTATTTCTCCCCCGAATATCATGTAAAGCAGTGAGAACTGGTTTTCAGTTAATTTACCTGGTAAAATAAAGTTTAAATAAATGCTCTAATAGTACACGTAAGTTAGTGGTTTATTTATTGTTAGTTACTGTAATGTTGCGCTGCTTTATTTGTTTAATCGTCCAGTCTGTGAAGAAGGCATTCAAGTAAGAATTGCATTGTAGTATGACTCATTTCCTGGCACGTACAATTTATATTAGGTCAGCGTTCACGGTTCGACTTCTGATATTCAGATCGAGTTCTAGGTCAAACTGGTTTGTTCGACTTTCAAGAAATTCGAGTTCTAGTGAGTTTGAGAACCGAGGTACCACTGTATTTAGTAGGGTTGTCACTATTGTTTATATTAAAAATCATGTACTCTACCGATTAAGGGAGTAATGGTTTATTACTGAAATGAAAAGGCCCTTAACCCCCAGCTCCCTGGGCGCCTCTATGGGTGGCAGCCCTCACTGCCAAGCAAGATGGGGTAGGTTGAAAGGAGAACTTCTCCACGGGGATCAATAAAGTATCATCATTCATCATGATATGATATGATCAGATATCATATCATATCATATCATATGATTATAAATTACAGTTTGTGAGGGGCAGGTTCCAACCGTGGATGGGGCGCACACTCATTCTCTCACTCACGCATATGGTCAACTTAGGCACTTGCATTGCATATAAGGTACATTTTTTTGAACAGTGGGAGGACACTGGAGGGTCTGGCGTAAACCGATGCAAAGACATGCAACTTCCACACAAGCAAAGTGGTGGTATGCAGCGACAGTGCTACTACTGTGCCACCCTCTGTACTAGGCTTGCACAATATGCGATGTTAATGAGATGTTGCACAAGGTTATGCTGGTCCACCAGCTACAGCAACACCAAGCCAGCTCAAACCATCACAGATCTGCATGAAAATCATGCTGGTCTGTGCCGTTTTTTTCAGCAGGGAGGGCAGTTTGTATAAACATTTTTGGTGGAAGAGTGATTTACTCCTGTGTGCAAAAGCCTGGAGTTAAACCTGCAGGGAACAAATTAAATCACTACAGCAAAACAAAGCACAACTATGCACACAAGATTCAGATCCACTTCCATAACACCAAAGATACACACAGTATATGGAAGTGCATCCAGGTTGTCACTCAATACAAGCCTGCACCAAACAGCAGTGACGGGGATGCCACACTCCCTGAATGGCTGAACGAGATCTACACATGGGTTGATTCACTGAACAAGGAGCCTGTGAGGAAAGCCACCCCTCCCACCACCGACCAGGTGATCTGTCTGACTACAGCTGACGTGAGGATTTACCTTAACCAAGGTCAACCCACAAAAAGCTACTGGATCAGACAACATTCCCGGTCTCGTGTTCAGGAGATGTGCTGATCAACCAAGAGGCATCCGCACCAGATGTCCAAACCACCTCAACTGGCTCCTTTCGACGTGAAGAAGCACGGCCTCTACTCTGAGGCCCTCCCGGATATCCGAACTTCTCATCCTATCCCTAAGGGAGAGCCCAGACACCCTG